TTGGGTCTTTTCTGGCCAAACGAACAATTACACCCGCATCCCTTCTAACCACAGCGAGCTCTTACGGAAGAAGCATCCGATCTCAGCCACCCCTGTGGTGGCATGAGGCAGTCGAGCGGAGGAAGGATAATGCAACAGCAGTAGCGGTACCGGCCTCATCTCACGGTTTCCAGCGACCGAAGCGGAAACCCTTGCTGTTCACGACATCACTAGCGGCTGCAACACGAACGGCGACATTCCCAGTGACAACAGCAGCGATTATCAGTCTCAATGTGACAGTAGAGTTGTGGTGCATCTTCAACCGATAGTGATAGCTCCTCCGTGGGTTCGCTTCTCCGGTAGGAATAGTCGTGGTTTGCCGGTCGGAAAACGAGAGTAAAGGGGGTGGTGGTGGCGCCGGAAGTCGAAGAAGGGAAAGGTGGCGGTTGGAATTGCATAAGGGTTAGGGTTTAGACGATTAACGTTATATACCCGCCTCATATGAAACATCTTCCCATATTGACACAACCGGTCCTTCCTTCTCCTTTTCCTTTCAAATTTACTCCAAATGTTACCATTTCTACCCTGGCTTCATGAATCCTTTTCAAATCTAATTCGTAATTTACCAAACAGCCCCTCCCTCAACAAATCATTTTCAACATAGGTCCAGAATTTACTCTTTTAACCCCAGCCATCCAAAACCCTTTTATTTTAAGTCCAAATGATACCAATACCCCCTGACTACTGAAAATCTTTACAAAATAAATCTCAACGTTACACTTTAACCCCCGAAACTAACATTCGATAATTATTACTTTTTTTGGGCTATAATAATCAAAAATAATAATAATAATTACTTCTCGGGGTTCCGAGTTTATCAATTAATTATTCTACTTTAAATGGGATGTTACAGTATATACATATGTATTGTTTTTTTAGAAACGGCTATATTATAAAAAGGTTCTAGCAAAGAACTAGAACAACAAATATATACATATGTATTATGTTTGAGTAAAAATAACAACGTAGTTTTTAATTATTCGTGTTCAACTTATTTTATTTGATAGATTTTGCGAACCGATTATAAAATTTGGATTAAACATTAAATACAAGTCTTATTTTTCAAATGAATTTTCCACTTTTCAAATAGACATGATTAATGTTTTAATCAATTTTAGATATTAAAACTTTTATTTCTTATAACTAATATATGACATCACAATTGTTCCTATTTTAACCAATTGTTACAAATATTGCCTAATAACACGTATTAGTCCAAAAACGAATTTACATGTATGTTGTTAAAAAAAGTGGGTTTGTTTTACAGAAATAGAAGTTGTATTCCATTTACAGAAGCTTTCAGAATTGCGCCTGATTAATGTAAAATCGAATTACATAAATTTGTAAAAATATTTTTATTTTATTTTTATGGTAATGTATTAAAATGTTGTTGGAATTTTGTTTTGCAGATAAAAAATCAAGATGCCGAGTTAGAAAAAAAGTAATAAACCACCAAAGGCACTTATAAAATTAAGAAAGAAATCGGTTAGGGGGTTAAAGCTTAAAATGAAAGCCGATAGAACTCTGAAAGATGGGGCATGTGCAAGTTCAGAACTTGTTATTATAGACTAGTTGCAAATAATTTTTTTTGTTATGGATATGTTTCAACAAGTTGGTTTTTAATGTGTATGTTAATATATTTGATTTTCAGTCTTCAACATCTAGTGACTCAATCGATCGATGAGGATGAGTTGTCAATAGAACATGAAATACTATGTATTGAAGAAGAGCAACGACGTCTTGGTGATACGACTGCATTAGAAATGATTTGTGATTATTAACATGCGAAACAACGAATGGTAATACTGGAAATCCCATTACTGCCTTCTACGATCGAGGATCGGAGAAAACTAGCATTGTGTAATATGAAAATGCTCCACATTACAATGTTTGATGATATACGACAATTTGTGAACACTATGGACATCATCGAAGAAGCACATAGGAAAACTTCAACAATAGAAGATCGAGTCCAAACAACTGATAATGGGTTCAACCTAATTCTAACCTATATGGAATTGTTTGAAAATATGTAGACACTGCTAGTTTGCACCAGATGCAATTTCTCGGTTATTCTGGAAATGTACTCTAACTTTAAATATTGTAATGTCTTTTGAAACTTAAATATGTAAAAGGAACAGTAGGGTTATCTAAAATGACAATGTTTTTCATTAACATTAGTACAAAGATCGTTACGAATCCTAATACATACTTATATTGGTTTTCACAAATTAGGAAAATGTAAGGGAGTCACGGAAATGCATGTCCGAAACTACCTATGAAGATGACAGACAACAAGCAACCTATGAATGCATGGAACTATATTTTTTGGGAACACAAAACAATTAGTTTAACTATAGAAATGTTATCAATTTTAAAGAAACAATAAAAATTTGGGAAAAAAAATATATCACACATCCAATAGCTACAAAAACAGACTTGGAAACAATCCATCACATCAATTTTGATGTTCGTGTAAGTATGCATGTTGGTTCTCCTAAGGTTGTGTAGGTAAACAGACACGTTGATAAAGTTTTCTTTGTGTTCACTCTCTGAGAAACTCATTTTGAAGCAATTATAAGAGATAATTGCTGATGAACCGAAGTAAGCGTCTAACTACATGCGGTAACATTTTTATATAGGGGACGAAAATTGATGTTTTTTAATCTGAAATAACTGTCTGAAACATGTGTCTGGACTGAGTGTTCGTGATCCGTATTGTCACTTCAAAGTAGGAGCCTGACAATCGTACATAGATTTTTGTTTCAAACAATGATACTTCAGAATGTACAGAGATTTTTTGTTACGGACCAAAGCTCCAGAATAAATACCATGACTCTGGAATGCTCTATTCCAAAGAAAGTTTTTACTTTAAAAAAAAAACAAGTCGGTTATTATTATTAAAATATCCATTTATATAGGTTAGAATGTTAGATTAATTTTTCTAAAACAAAACTATGAGAATCCTCCAAGTTATAAAATATTGAGAAAAAAAAGGTACCAATAAACCATATAAAACGTTCGTATAGTTTATCCAAAAAAATAACAAAAGATAAGTAAATATGACATTGATTATCCTAAGAAATCTTTGTAATCAAGATTCGTATAATTTTTTTGGATTAAATCAGAATTCAATTAGAGAAATCAGATATTTTCATTTTAATTAGGGTATTTCTTTTTGCACACCATCCTACACAATCCTATTACACACCAATCTAATACATACCAGTCTAGTACACAGCATCCATATAACAAAAACCAATGCTTTTTCTTTTCAAGAAAAAGAGCACGTGCCTTTTTGGCTGTTAACAAACCACGCAGCTTTTTAATCTTTTTTTAACTAACCCTCACGACATCAAATTCTTAATTTAAACTTTTAAATTTTATATATTATTATAAGGCCGTTAAATTAATTTTATTTAATATAGGATTAATAATAAAGTATTTTTCAATGACTTTTATTTAAGTTATATTATATTAAAGCAAAATACAAATAAAATATTTTCTAATATCAACTAAATTTTAGTTAATATGTCATTTAACATTTAACATTTATAGTTTTAAACATAGAGTTGTAACTAAAATATAAAGGTAAACTATATATATATATATATATATATATATATATATATATATATATATATATAACAAACTATATATAAGTTACGTTTAGAATATATTTTAACGTCCAACCTTTATAGTTACTTTTTATATAAGTATTAAATAAGTTATACTTTATAATATATTTTAACTCTATTATAATTTATAATGAAATTCTTGAATTATAATATAACAAAAAATCGTAAATTTTAAACCACGTCAGTTTTTATTCTTTTGACTAATATCCAATTATATGCAGTAAATAAAATGTAATATTTGTACGAATTTTATCGTAATATTTAAAAAATTGATTTTTTTTTAACAAAATAAAACGACATGTTTTGAAAAAAACTGCATGATTTAAAAAAAAACTACACTTTTTATTAAAATAACTATACTTTTTATTAAAAAAACTGCACAATTTTTTAAAAATTTCATGTTTTAAAACATAATTCCACGTTTATAAAAAAACTGCATTTTTAAATAAAAAAAATGCATGTTACAATTTTTCTTTTTAAATAACAAATTATAACAAAAAATAAACAGTTTTATGAAAAGTATGTTTATGGTAATGGAAAAAAATATCACTTTTATGGGTTTACGACTAAAAACAAAGATAAAAAATGATGAAAATTTATTTTTTTATAATAATATTTATGTTATTATATTATAAAAAAAATATTATTATTGTTTTTTTATCTTAATAAAAAATAAATTTAAAATTATTAAATATTAATAGTTAATATAAAATTATAATTATTAATTAATAATGATTTATTGATTAAGTTATAATAAACTAATAATAAAAGTTGATAAAAAATAATTATATTGTAATGATGACTTAAAAAGTAAGGTTAATGGTAATAATTTATTATCATTCAATTAAAAAGTAAGCTTAATCTAGATTATGTTGTAGGTTGGTGTGTCAAAAGTAAAAACCTTTTAATTATTATATTTTATTTATCTATAGAAGGAACCGGAAGCGTGCGGGTGGTTTGACTTGCCAAACTAGAGCTAATGGTCAATGTTTTAAATTGTCAAATTAGTGTATAACTTCTGGAAACAAACCTTCCCAAAGAAGAAGCTCACTGACGTGGCACCTCAGAGAAGCAACACATCTACTCCTAAACTGCGACTGGACATGACGTCAGTGTATCAGTCCAAAATACCAGCCCGCCTTATCTAAAAATGCCATGTGTGCACCTAGCAAACATATCTTTTTCTCCAAAAACGTAAAATGAAAATTCAAATCCGTGTGTGAACAGCGTCCTAGCTGGCAGCCACGTTGACATACGATTAGTATAAATAGTTTGACCTTACTCACTTTCTTCAAATAATCACAAGCAGAAAAGCAGCGGTTGATGGAAAGATTGACAAATAAACTTAACCACCAAGCAACCACCAGTTTTCAACAGCAACTGTCAATGATGCAGCCGCCGTCGCTGCCGCCATGGAGGCGGCTCACCGAAGATGAAGAAACTTCAATCATGGTCGCTGCACTCAAGAATGTTATAAATGGAGATACTGCGACTGTTTATAACCAACAGCAGGACTATGATCACCGGCAGTTCTCTCCGTTCAGCTATGCTCCGGCGACACCTTTCGCCGTTAGTGAGCCAGTGGATCCTGTTCCTCAAACGTGTCCGGTTTGTGGGATTCGCGGATGCCTGGGATGTAATTTATTTACGGCTGATATGAAACAGAACGACGGAGGTAGTGGTGGTGCTGGTGGTCCGATTAAGAAGACGAAGAAGAATTACAGAGGAGTGAGACAGCGGCCGTGGGGAAAATGGGCATCGGAGATTCGGGACCCACGTAAAGCAGCTCGGGTATGGTTAGGTACTTTTGAGACTGCTGAAGCAGCTGCTCGGGCTTACGACAGAGCAGCGATAGAATTCAGGGGAGCCAGAGCGAAGCTCAATTTTCCGGTGACTGATTACACGACAAAACCGTTGTCGCAACTGGAAAACCAGCAGACAGCTGCATCGTCATCAAGAAGAAAACAAGAAACCGAGAAGAAACACGTCGTAGAAAAGAAAACAAATGTTTTGGAGAAAGAGAGTGAAGATTGGATGATGACGATGATACAAGACGTCGATGTCGATGGCGGTTTCCCCGACTTAACAAATCTTGAATCAATCTAATCACGCGGTGATAATATTGCCACGTTCGCAAAAAATAATGATCTGATATAACGATGTTGTATATAAACTATAATATAAACATTCTTTTCACAATAGTATAGTGTAAAATGTAAACATGACGATTTATTTATTAATATTTTTATATTTAAATGGATGAGACTGACCAAATTATGTTAATTAAATGGCAACAAATATTATTGTTTATTATGTCAAAATCAACAATATATGTATAATAATAATTATTTATTGGGATGTACTTTTTTACTTGTTTAGCTATATAAGTCGTGAAAATACTGGCTATAAACAATTTTTTAATGGTTGAATTCCAAAAAATAGATACAAAAAATCGAATTTATGGGTATAGACATGGATTCCGCGGAGGTGAGCTCTGAAGGCAATGCGGAATCCACTGTAGCTCTGCGGAATGGCAAAATCGTAATTATATCAGTGGTATTAACGAAAAAAACTCGATGAATAGTTCCGCGGAGGTGCCTCCGCGGACCTCGTTAGCAACTTCGTGGAACTGTTCATCGATTTTTTTTTTTTTGCGTTAATACTCCTGATTAATCGTATAGGTTATAATTATTACAATCCTCCTCATTATACCAAAAAGATGGAATAATCTCATTATAATCCTCTGATATCAATAAGCGATAAACCTCCTCATTATATTAATCAGTTTTATAATTATTACAAAGAAAAAAATAATAATAAGATATGTGGATTTAGTGGGACCAAAATAGGGAATAATCTTCCGATCTTAATAAAATATCTCATTATAATCATCCGATCTTAATCTGGGTATTTATGAAAAAAAATTCAGGAAAAAAAACTCGATTAGCAGTTCCGCAGAGCTGCTAACGAGGTCCGCGGAGGTACCTCAGCGGAACTGTTCATCGCGGTTTTTTTGATTTTTTTTTTTGCGTTAATACCCCTGATTTAATTACGATTTTGCCATTCCACATAGCTATAGTAGATTCTGTGGACAGAGCTCACCTCCACAGAATCCATGTCTATACCCGAAAATCTGATTTTTTATGTTTATTTTTTGAAATTTAACCTTGTCTATGGCTGGTATTTTTCCATATAAGTTTTTATTAAGCTGCACTAAAAAATTAATTTTTAAATATGGGGACATGAGTACATGACAGACACAGTTAAGGGTGTAAGTAGCCGAGCTACACGCGAGCTACTCGGGATCGACTCGTTAAAAGCTCGACTCGAGATCGAATTAAACGAGCCCGAGCCGAGCTCGAGCCTAAATATGAGGCTCGTTTATTAAACGAGCTCGAGCCGAGCTTCAGTTAGTGGGCTCGCGAGTCTAAATGAGCCTAAACGAACATATATATATATATATATATATATATATATATATATATATATATATATATATATATATATGTGTGTGTGTGTGTGTGTGTGTGTGTATAGGCTCGTTTAGGCTCGCGAGCTCACTAAATTGTTCACGAGCCGAGCTCGAGCTTCATTTTAAGGCTCGAATCGAGCTCGAGCTTCTTCAAAATTAAACGAGCGGAGCTCGAGCTTGGTTAGGCTCGGGCTCGGCTCGGCTCGTTTACACCCCTAGACACAGTACCTCACCCCTTCATATCTTGTCAAATTTGTTGTGTTAGAGCAGATGCACATGCATGCACCTAGCTAGCTCCCCGCCCTTTCCATCGGTCGCTCAGCAACCAACATTCATCGTACGTACACAATTCTCGTCGACTCCCACGTTTCCAGAATCATCAAAAACCTAGCTAAATGGACAAGCTACAAAAATCAATGTCAACAAATTAATTAATGTACTCTTAGTATTACAATACAATCGCAGTAGGGTGATGGCTTTTTTGTATGTCTTGTAAGAATGAGATGTAAATATTAGTGTTTGATTGTTTATTTTTCAGAAGATTATATATCTAAAAATGTATGCATGTTTTTTTTGGCATATATGTGGACAAAAATCTTATAACATTTTCAGATATCTTCTAACCTAAAAAACATGTAATTTCGATTTTAGTCATATTATATCAATGACATAATTATAATAGTATTAAGTTACATTATGTATTTATTATTGGATTAGTGTCTAAGCCAGTAACTATATTTGGTAAGTACTTGACCCGGTGGTGCATGGTCCTTTTGGGTTGCCTTCACCATAGCAACTTGACAGGGTGATTTATGAAGAGAGAGAAGATATTATGATTTATTAATATATTATGAGAATAATATATTAAAGGAATAATCAATTATTTAATTAATATTGGTCATAGATTAATTAAGAATTAATTTGGTGACTAAAAGAGATTAATTAAATAAAGGGGACTGGAACTGTCAATTGTGTGATAGTTGGTTTTGGGTTATGGATCCTTATGGATTCTAGGGTGGACGAAATTAAGGTGTATGGACTCCTTGAATTCGTCCAAGCCTCAATCTAGAAGGATCTTTGGATTGCTTAGGGCCTAAGTTATTCAATTAGGGTTCAGGATGTAACCCTAGCATCTCAAGTATTTAAAGACCCCAAGGGCTACAGAAATCGGCTACCAGAAACCCTAAGGAGTTCCAAGAGCCGATTTTGTGCCTACATCCTCTCTCCAAATCATTCTCTTGCTAGTTGGTGTTTGTAAGCCATTAGAGGAGTGACAATTGTGACTCTAAGCTCCAAGAACAAGAAGATTCAAGCAAGCAATAAGAGGTAATCATCTAGATCTGATTTGTCTCATCAAATTTGAATTATACTCACTAGATCTAGGGTTTGCAAGACTTAGATAAATTGCATGTTCAATTAGAGAAACCTAGATCCAAGCATTAGGGTTTGCATGGTGCACATAGGAAAGTTCTTATGGCTCAAACCCATCATTTATGTTGTGCACCTAAAATCAAATTACTCATCATAAATCATCAACAACGATTAAAATGACTAATATTTTTTGTTTGAATGTCTATTTCTTGTAATATTTTCTCATTTTAACTACAACTAAATGCAATAAATATCAAATATATTCGTTAATTCATTTTACCATTCATTATTTTATAATACATTGTTTAAAAATGACATAATTATCCTATTGTCATTAAAAATATAAAATAATTTAGACAGACACATTATCATAATATAATATCACAATAAAAATATAAAATAAAAAAATGGTTATGAAAAATAAAAGTGTTATACAATAATACATAAAGTTTGATCTAAATTTGTTAATTATTTATGAAAAAATCATAAAAGTGTTAAGTTCAAAATAAGATTTTATTATACAAAATATTATCCAAACGTAAAATATGTAGTTTATCATTTTGTTTCAAATTTGGAATCTCTTAAAACAAATGAAATTGAAAGGAAATTGAAATTGATGGAACCTTTCACTGTTTTAAAACTAGAATTATTTAGATTTCAGTATTGAAAAACTATTTTGAATTTAAAAAACTGGTTTATTTAAATATTCGTTTATTTTAGCAGCTTGCATACGTTAGAAAACAAACATATTTATTCTTGCAGACTGCAGACATATGTCTGTAGTGCAGAGGTTTGCAGATATGGTCGAGAGAATGCATGTGTTTTGTCTCTAAAAAAACAAACATCAGTTAGCTTTCCTTAGCACACTTACTTTCTTAGTTAATAATAACCGGTCTAAATTCTTTAAAATCAACACCATAAATGGAATTCAACTTGAAAAGGCAAAACTTATGGAGGAGTTCAGAACATTGCCCTTGTTGTGTATTTATTTTCTTGTCTCAAACTTATATGGCCACTTCGAAACACCGTCACAAACCACGAAGACGACGGTAGGTGGTGCAGTTCTAGAGGATGGAGGCGTTATATGTCAGAACCATGGTCTAAAAGTAAGGCTTGTGACAAATATTATTTATTAGGGTTTATGAAAGAGCTTGATTGGTGGGGTTTTTAGATGACAACTTATTAGGGTTTTGATGGAAGTGGAGGAATTCAAAGGTGGTTGTCGAACAAATGAAGAATATGAAGTAAGCAGCTAGGTCTTGTGATGACGTTTAGGACAAGATGAACGGATGAAGCTTCATCTTTGAATAGAAGCAACCATGGTAGTTGTTTTGTTTTCTGATGATGTTGGAGGGGCGTTGTACTTTACCCAATATAGAAAGAGGTGGAGAGTGAGAGAGGGATAAATGGGAAAAAGTCAAGGGGATGGGATATTGAGAGAGGATTGAGGGTAGGATGGGGTAGTAGGTCCATTTTATTTTCATTTAATATATCATTATTATATAGTTAAAAAGAATTAAACAATTTATACGACTTAGGGACCTACCACGTAAAAATTTGAAACCACACTAACCATCTTCATAAAAAAAATAGGAACTTAACTTATGACTTTTGTAAAGCACAAAGACAATTTATGTAATTTTGTCAAAATTTAAAGACAAAAATGACATAAATAGTCCTTGTAATTAGGGATGACAAGTGGGTTGGCTCTGGGTTCGCGGGTCACAGGTTGGCAGGTTAGCAGGACAGAATACATCAACCCAACCCAACACATATATGTATTCAGGTTGGCGGGTTCGCATGTCATTGGTTCGTAGGTCAGAAACATCAAACCAACACATAAATCATTTAATTATACAAGTTTGCAGGTAACTTTCATCGACGGTGGTGGTTTGGGGATAAAGCGACGAGTTGTGGTGGGTCGGTGGAGCGCAAGTGTAATAGTGGTTTGCGGCTTTGCACTGGTGGGTTGGTGGTGTGTGACGCCGACAGTGAGGTAGTAAGGTAAGGGTGAGGAGTAGTATGTGGTTTTTTTATTAAGTAGGCACGCCGCACTCGTAAGTCATAATTCATAAATAAATAATAAAGTTTTAAATATATATATATATATATATATATATATATATATATATATATAATATTGGCGTGTTGGCGGGTTGAATCCATGAACCCAAACACTTAAACCAACCCAACCCATGAAATAAGCGGGTTGACGGGTTGACAGATTGGCGGGTCAGAAATCTCAACCTAACCCTGTTTATTT